GGCATTTGTCCATTGGGGGGAAATAATAAAAAGAAGTATCCAAAGGGCTGTGGTGTCACCATCTCCTAGCGCCTGCTGTGGGTTGGCTATTAGTAGAGATAACAAATCAGCCCTTCCCAATTTGCACTTTCCCAATGTGCTGGACTAACACTCCCATGATCCCAGCCAGTACTGCCCTTCCTAGTTATGCTGTAGAGTGAGAGGAGAAATTGTCTGCAGGGTTTGTGGTGCAGCTTTTTCTTTTTTTACCAAGCTCCTCTCCTCCCATCCAGAGAGATAAGAGATCACCGAGAGGCGCCTGGGGAACCAGGTGTCTCCAGAATTTAACCCTGCCTCTCCCTCTCCCGAACGGAATGCTCTTGGGCTTTCCCATTTACTAGATGGGCTTGTTCATCTTACCGTAAAACGTCAGGATGTGTGGTGCTTCAGGTTTTTCGTGGCATTTCTTCTTTTCCTTTTCCTTTTTTTCTCTTTCATTGACGTAGTAGCAACAAGCATGCCACCCCCTCTGAATCTGATAAGTCATACTCTGGATCGCTATCAGCTCCCTAATTACATATTTACATGCCTAGTGCATGTCACTGTGCTGATAACTTCACCAGCATGTGTCCCCATTTTCTCTCCCTTCGTCACAACCCTCCAGGATTTATGCAGTCTTCGTGCTGTGATACCACGTCAGCTTTTCAGCAAGACTAAGAGTCCAGGTTAGCCAGCAGTAAGGGGCAGTGGTGTTGTGCACTTTGAACATTCCTTTTCCTTTTCCTTCCCACCAAACAACTTGGTATCCTGGAATTGACTCACTGAACATCTGAAATTTCTTCCCAAAGCTTACCTTACAAGACCTTCCAACACCTCTCTAGAGGGCAATGAGTTTATTGCTATTTTAAAGGAAAAGAGAGACCAGGATGGAAACATTTTAATTAATCCAGGCAAGGCTGGGTAAATTCTGTGACAGGAACAGTGTAGTTATTTGACCAGAGAAGTTTGTGTGTGTGTTTGCTGTCCTTTTAAACTGCATGCTGAGCAGAGTTCTCTGAGTGGTATACAGTCTGTTGAAGATATAAAGTACAACCCCAGTGCCATAAAGCAACAACTAGAGGCAACAGAATACAAAACCAGTATTAAAAAACAGTAGCAAAGTGCAAAATATTCCAGCTTGTAAAGCTACGCAGTCTGAGCAGGGTGTGCTGATTTTGCCCCGTTGCTGCATGCTTCTGCTCATTTAAGGGAACTCTGTATACTGCACTTTTCCAACCACAACGTCTTCTCATTCATCCCCTCTGGCTTCCAAGGCGCCATCAGATACTGCCTGCCGCACACTTCCAAGCCTGATCTTCACTTTCAAACCTTCAGGGCCAGAAACTTGTTATGGTTTTAGTCACTCGACTTAAAAGTGATGAAACATGAATTTTGTGGGATGCTGAGTCTTGATGTTCCTCTTTGAAGGTTTTGGAGGATTATTAGTTGAGACCTTGCAGAGGCTGTAGTCTAAATTGGAAGGCTGCCTAACACTGGCTCCGCCTGCAAAGACTTTCCAATATGTAAGCCGTTGTGTCCTTGACCCAAATTAGAGCACTGGATTTGATGGACTGGGCAACCAAGAAAAGGGGACACATTTACCACTATTCACTGTGACCTGTGATGTTGTTTCAGGTGCTGCCTCTCAGTGAGGATTCCTCCAAACCAAAGAGCAAAAGTGGAACAGCCACCTGATTGTCACCATCTTGATCAGCTGCTTGACAATCTAGGGTGGTAGGTACAGGAAAAGAAATGGGATGGGCATACTCTTATGTAGTCCAGCAAGGCAGTTTATATGTGTGTCCATAGCAGCAGAGGTTGAATTGCTTTGTGCATCACAGAGTTTGTAAAAGTGATACAACCCCCAGAATGCTATGACTCCCAGAATACCCTCAACCAGCATGGCCTGTGGGAGGTGCTGGGAGTTGTAATTCAACCCACAGTATCCCAGTTTTTTTTTTCTTATGAAAAACAGTATACGGGTATAAGTCCTTACCTGAAGACCTTTCAACACCAGATTTTGTACCTCTAGTGTAGCCAAGGCTAGGTTTTGAAGGCACCAACTCCAGCAGCCTTGTGGCAGAAGGAGGCCTCGGTCCACTCCGTGCCCAGGGTAGGAGGCTACTTGGGAATCCAGAGTGCGCTGCTTTGAGTTCCATCAGCAAGATATAGAAGAATATCCTCTGCTACTTGTTTTCCACTCAAATGAGAGTGTGGTGCATTCTTTTCTCACTTTCAAGGATGGGCAACCATCACAAACATTCTGAGGGAAATATCACTGTCTGTTAATGACAGCAAAGGGGAGAAACAAGCCAAGAGCCGTCCTGGGGAACCGCAAGATCATCCGGCTCTTTCCTGAGCTTTCTTCCTCATTGCCAAGGTAAAGCCCCCCTCTCCATTTTGCTGGTGCCCAAGTCCCAAGCCTTGTCCAGGCAGCTGAGTGGAACGTTGCCAGTTGGCAGTCCGTACGTGATGCCATTCAAAGGCTTGTGGGATTTATTGAGCGCACGTCGTGGGGGCATTACCATATGGGGCCCATAAATTAAACCATTCCAGGAAACAAATGGTAGATTTATACGCTCTGGCTTGTATGTGGTGCCTCATTGAACCTAAGAGCTTTGTGACGGAGTTTGCACAAACCATTCATCTTATTTACCTAGCTCGGTTTAAGCAGACTGATCCTTAAAAAGAAATTGGATCAATGTTTTTTAAAAACACCCATTCTGTATATCAACCCAAGACCTGCATGCTCATAAATCAATGGTAGGAGGGGAGAGGCAATGGGTGGAAAGAAGGGGGAAGTTCCCACTCTTGACTTATATGGCATTCATTGCATGCCCTCGCCCCTCCTTTATTTTCAGGCCCGTCATCCGCTTGCATACATGAGAGGGCTCGTGGGTACATTGTATATGTGTTCCTTCTAAGAAGGCGCTGCCGTTGGAACGGTGTGTTAATTCTAGAATGAGGGAGAGGTGCTGAAATGTCACGTTCTCCTGGAAGGCACACCCTCTATATTGAAATTCAGGGCATTGTGTCATCTCATTTAATGATAGCAATAATAAAATGTAATAACAGTATCAAAATGCCATGCCAGGAGAAAACAACAACACATTTTTTCAGCAGGTGGAGGATATGTTAATTAACTACACATGCACAGTTCTCTCTGTTTTACATAATTTATTCCGCTGGGTTTATTAATCCACATAATTAGGTCTGGTTCTGCTGCTCTACATGGGGCAAGGCCAAGGGGCTAAGAAGGGCAATGGCGGAGCTCCTTTGTCCACCAGAAAGCTTCAGTGCTCGGCTCCAGAGATTTCTTTGCAATAACAAGGGCCAGAGAGTTTTGTTTCATTTTCAAAAGAAGGAAAGAAAAAAAGAAACTGAAGTTCATCTCTGTGTCCATCACTACATTCTCTGTTTTCTCTGTTGAGTGGAATTACAGCTGGTTCCCACATCTAATGGCCAAATTTCTATTGCACAATTACACAGATGCAGGTCCAGTTTACGCCTGCAGTATTTGCACAAGCACCAAGGCAGAATGCTATCCCTGAAGCACTTCTGCCTGTGCAATGCACAGTCGGCCCTGCTGGGGACACACAACCGATGGCACAATTGCAAATGGCAATTCCTTGTTGTTGGATGTAATGCCTGGTGCATTTACACTGATGTAATGTTATGTTCCCAGTGTGGTATAGTGGATAGGGTGAGAGACTTTTGGAGAACAGAGTTTGAATTCCTACTTGGCCGTGGAAACGCACTGTGGAAGTGGAATTGGTAAAACCACTGTTTAGATATCTCACTCACCTTGAAAGCCCTTTTAGGGTTGTTATAAGCTGGTTCCGACTTGACAGAACAGATCACAAACACAATGTTATGCCGGTATGAACTGAATACTGGCCACTGATACATAACTGAGTTTATGGTGGGAAGAATAAAAGGGTGATCATGTAAGGCTCAAGGTTTCTCTGTGCAAAGGTGGCTGAACACCAAAGCCATACTCACTTCAGGTCGGAGGTGGAAATGACCATTTGTGGGAAACAGTATGGCATGGGGGAATCCACATCAAGGAGTAGTCTGTTATTTTTGTTCCCCTGTAGAGCCCACTCAAATGCAGTCCAGTTACAGTGGACTGGTTGGTTGAGCTATCTGTAACACAGCTGCACAACCTGTTCGTAAGGATGGTTTTAGTTGCAGGCTCTTTCTGCCATTAGGTACATGGACAATGAACTCACCCTGGATATGTTTTGGGACAAGTAGGCCTTGCCAGGAACCTGAGGATTGTGAAAAATAGTCTTTCGGTTGTTAACGACTGGAGCACAGATACCATATGACACCACTGTAACTAAAATACTAGTTGCAAAAAGTATACATTCAAAGTAAAGTGGACAATGACTTGTTGTATCATCCATAGTCAAAGTAGGTATCATAATGCAAATTTCTTGCTTATTGTTTAAGAGATGGGCTTTGATTTAGGCTCTTTCCAAAAAGCTTTCATTACTTAACTGAGTGATTCCTAGCCTTTGGTCCTCCAGATGTTTTGAACATCTTCCAAATGCCCTAGCCAGCACAGCCAATGGTTAAGGGTTCTGGCTGTTGAAGTCCAAAACATCCAAGGATCAAAGCATAGGAATCACTGATGTAGTTCCTACAGAAACGTTGATGGTCGATGGAAAGCAACCCCTTGCACCAAACAGGTCAAGGATCAAAGCATAGGAATCACTGATTCCTGCAGAAACATTGATGGTAGATGGAAAGCAACCCCTTGCACCAAACAGGACAGGCTCGTGGCCACTGACTTGGCCCTCTCAGTTGCCACATCCAGTCACTGGCATAAACATAATCCTGAATTTCCTGAGACTGCAGGTGCTGTTGTCTTGTGTGCACAGGTGTGTATGTGTGGTGAGGTGGTGGCTACTCTTCAAAGCTGAACTCTACCTTGGGCTAAAGGGAGTCTCATGTCCTTCCTCTCTTTTTTGTTTCAGGCATCAGCCTTTCCCCTGGAGGCACCTGTTCTAAAACTAGTGGCCAGTGAGCCTGTCCAGCACCCACCAGGCACAGCGGAGAGCGCGGCTGCAGGAAACGGAGCTGCTCAAGATTACAGGACTATTTTGGATGTGGAGGGTGCAGCCCAAACAGCTACAAGTAAGCACTGTGTTTGTTTTCTGAACCTTTAGTGTGATTGAGTGGTTATATGTACATACACAAGATAGCAGAACCCAGTATTTTGAACTACCACTGGAATTTGTGTCTGTTCTGCACTGAAATAGAACAGTGACCAAGCTTTGTTGAGCATTGTTCTGCTTCGAATTCAGAGGAGCTGTTTATGCCTATAAGAATAATGTGGTGAACCTGATGCATAGTGTTATTGGTCGTAGGAAGAGGCATTCAGCCAGGCAACTACTGAGCTGTTCCTAATTTGAAACAGAGATACTGAATTTTCTGTTGGCTTTGTATTTGAACAACCAGAGTGAATAAAATCAAGACAGTTGTCTCTTCATTGTGTCCCAAGGTGGAGCTCTGGTTAGCCTAAAAGTTTTAAGGGGACTCACCAGCAGTCTGTTCGATGATAGTTCTCCTAGTGGAAGTTCAGAACACAGAGCTTGCCAAGACTGTCCTACAGGGGAATTCTGGAAATCTCTTGCTGTTTCTGCTGGGATTTCCCTGGCACAGTTGGAAGGTCTTCCAGCTCTGGAGACCAAGTCCAGATGTTCCAGTCTGAGCAAAAAGATCTCTCCCTTCTGATGAGAGACTTGATGCATAGGTCAAAGGAGGCCACTCCTAAGCTTCAGTGTCCTAAAGCTAAGCTTGGCTGGATGCCAACTCTTAGGAGTTTAACATCCTCCCCAGTCAAGAGTTGCAGCATTCCTAGAAGAGGTGTCTTTCTGTCTTTCTCACTCTCTCCCTCCTTCTCTTTCACTTGTACACATACTCATACCCATCTTTTAGTCCTGTTTCCTGTTGAGAGACTCTCTGGTATATACTCTGGTACAGAACCCTAGTTCAATGCATTCTCAAAGGCTGCCATGGCCTGGCTCCCAGCACTGAAAAATACAGCCTGCAAAAAGGTCAATGAACTCTACCCAGCCACATGGACTGGTGATCACTGTACACAAAAGACTAGCTAACAGCACACATCAATCACAGTTACAGATAATCTCCCCCCCCCTTATCACAACAATAAATACACCCATAACAAAAAACGCCCTGATCACAATAATCATCCAATCTCCTGGAAAGGACAAAAAAGCTGATCCCACAGCTACAAATATCCGACTATCCCACACACTACACCAGAACACAGAGTTCTAACTCCTGTCTCTGAAGATGCCAGCCACAGAGACTGGTGAAACATTAGGAAGAAAAACCTCCAGAACATGGCCAAACAGCCCGAAAAACCTACAACAACCAACCCTAGTTCAGTTGAGCAAAAGCGATGAAAAGACTTGTGGCTTTATTATGGATTCCACTTTATCATATGCATGAAATGTCATCTTGTAATTTTCAGGGTATATGCCAGGGTATTATGCTGGAATTATAGGCAGCGAGTTCACGGGAAACTGAAGAGAGGTCTTTACTTGCAGTGTCTCACGCCAGCAATACAAGTGGGCTGAGTTTGCTGTGGCATTTTGCCATCAGGACAGGGTTGGGGAGGGACACAAAAAGACAATGGGGGAATTGAGCATGAGGCAAGCCTATTGGGACACTTTCTGTCATCTAAGAAAAGAAGTAGGAGATCAGGTTGATGGGTTTATACGGACTCCTTGTTTTAGTCAAGCAAGCATATCTACTATTTATTCATTTAAAATATTTTTTAAAAAAATAAACATTAGACTTAAAATGTCAGACAGAAACATTACTAAAGCAGATTTAAACACAACAAAAATGCAAACCATCCTATTTTAAAAACCCCTCAGACAACCAATCAACTGAGTGAAAGCCAGCCTGAAAGGATATTTGCCTGCGTGTGGAAGGACCGCAGAGACGGGGCCAGCCTGGCCTCCTGTGGGAGATGTGGAAGGACCACAGAGATGGGGCCAGCCTGGGTGGTGGTGAAAGGCCTCCCCTGATGATTTTACCATCAGCCCTTTCCTATTTTCCCGCCAAACGTGCCTGTGAGGGTGGTGGAAGGCCTCCCCTGATGATTTTACCATCAGCACAGGCTCATAAAGGGAGACATAGACCTTGAGATAGCTTGGACCCAAGCCATTTAGGGCTTTATAGGTTAAAACCGGCACTTTGAATTGGGCCCAGAAATGGATTGGCAGCCAGTCGATCTGCTGTAACAGGGGAGTTCTGTGATCCCTCTAACCAGCCCAAGTTGGCAATCTGGTTACAGCACTGAAGTTTCCAAACACTTTCCAAAGGCCATATAGAGCACATTATAGTAATCCAGCCAAGATATAATCTCACGATCAGATCTCTTCAGGAATGGGCACAGCCAGTGTAGTAGATTTAATTGTTCAAAGGCATTCCTGGCCATGGCTGAAACCTGGGCATTTAGGCTCAGAGACTAATTCAGGAACACCCCAAAGCTGCACACCTGTGTTTTCAGAGGGAGTGCAACTGCATCCAGCATAGGTTGGACGATCTCACCATGACCAGATCAGATCTCTTCAGGAATGGGCACAGCCAGTGTAGTAGATTTAATTGTTCAAAGGCATTCCTGGCCATGGCTGAAACCTGGGCATTTAGGCTCAGAGACTAATTCAGGAACACCCCCAAGCTGCACACCTGTGTTTTCAGAGGGAGTGCAACTGCATCCAGCATAGGTTGGATCTCTATTCCCTGATTTGCCTTTCCACTGACCAGGAACACCTCTGTCTTGTCTGGATTAAGTTTCAATTTATTCACCCTCATCCAGTCCATTACTGACACCAGATGTAGTAATGGCTTCCTCAGATGGAAAAGAGAGAGTTCGGTGTCATCCGCATACTGGTGACACTGAACCCCAAAACTCTGGACAACCTAAGCCACTGAGAGATCTGGCAGAACCAACAAGGACACACTTCCCTGTTCAATTCCTAGCATAGGTCATCCACCAAAGCAATACCTGTCCCATAACCAGGCCTGAAGCTAAATTGAAATGGATCTAGATAATCCCTCTGGTCCGGGAACCCTGAGAGGTGGTAATATACATAATATGCTTACCTTCCTGTGTTTTTATCAAGAGATGGCTTAAAGTAGGAAGATGAGTGATCAAGGAAGACCTATTCCTATCCTTCCCAGTATTTTAATCTGTGAAGGATTAAAACTGTGCATCTATCTGGATTTCAGAGGAGAAATGTTTCCTGTCTATAAAGCAATGCAAAGGAAAGGTGCAGCATGTTGAGACTGCAAGAATTATCTGAATATCTAGTATCATTGTCCATCTCTGTTCTGACTGGTAACAGTTCTGTGGGACTTAGCAGAGTTTTGAAAAGTTAACTTTTGCATTTTAATTCCCTGAATCCCCCAGACCTCGTGGGCCGTGCTGGCAGGGGAATACAGAGCTTGCACACAGAAAAGTAATTTTTCCAAATGCTGGGTCTCAGACAGAGAGATGTTAGTCATCACTGCTGTGTGAGATCCTTTAAGTGGAGGTGAATCTTGGACCTTCTACATCTATCCCTGATCTATTTTCCCAAGCAGATTCGTGTAGTCTCTTTTCCCCATATTTCTTCATCAGGTTAGACCAAGGCCTTCTGCTCCCTATAACAAATCTCCAGAAAGCTAAGAAAAGCAGAGTTCCTCCTACAGCCACCTGGTGGTGTCACTGTAGAATAAGGGGTCAGGGAGGGTCTTTGGTAATTTGTGAGCTATTTACTGCCAGCCAGCTGGGAGCAGAAGCTATGGCCTGGAACGGGCCATGTGAAGCGGCCTGTGTTAATTACCAGAGTCGCTTGGCAGAGACACTGAGTAATGGTATGTTAGATGCTTGCTGTATTTCATGCACCGGCTCCGAATAGCAGAGCCTTCGTGTTTCTGGTCAGGATCTTGGCTGCCGCTCGCAGGAGGAGGAGGAGGCATTAAAAAGCCATGCCAACTGCATGTGGGTGAGACAAGGTTAAGGTTGGCTCTGCCATAATCATATGGATGACTCCTCCTTTCTCCCATTCAGTTGGAGCTAATTCTGACATAGCCCTTTTTCTTAGAGGTATAATGCTTTGTCAAGGAAAAATTTAGTCTGGAATATAAAAACTTAAAAACAAACAAACAGGGAATTTTGGTAACCTGAGCACCTTGCAGCTTACAGTTATTTGTGTGTGAGAGAGATAAACGTGCAATGTTAAGTGCACATGAGAGCTGTACGAATGCATTTTCTATATAAAACAAACTGCTCACAGTCGCTTTGCATACTTACGCTGACACCACAAATGTATTCAACTCAGAAAATTAGGAGGGAAAAATATAACAGACATTGGTTTGCTCTAGATTAGTGAAGGCAGAAAGATAAAAGTCCTTCTTTGTACCTTGTGAGAACTGCTGATAAGGGTATTTGTTCCTTTCGATTCTGTATAACAAAATAGTGCGATGAAAATTTGTGAGAAGGAACATGTTCAGCGCAGCAAGCTGTTGAGATTGGCTCGCCTGGTTCAAACCAGGACAAAGGCAGAGAGAGAGAGAGACTGATGGACACATGCTAGCGAAAGACTTTGAGCCCAGAAAGTATCCTGTGGGGCAGTCCTCCATTTGCAGCAGGGAAAAGCCTTTTATACTGCCCCATAATACTTAAAGCACTCTCTGGATAGTTTACAATTTAATTACACAGGCTACACATTACCACCAGCGCCAGTACGTTGGGCACTCAATTTACTGACCTTGGAAGGCTAAGTAAAAATTGAGCTGCTTACCTGGACCCATTGAGCTCGAACTCAGGTTGTGAGCAGTCTTGACTGCAATACTGCAGTTTAACCACTATGCCACAAGGTTCTTAAAGAAGCCACTGTCTCTCATCCATTTTATATTGGACTACCATAAGCTAAGAGCTCACCAGTAGTTTTAGCCAAAACAAAAAAGTATCTTGAGCCATGTCAAAAAATAACAAATTTTATTTGGCATAAGCTTTTCTGTACTGTAGCCCAGTCCTTCAGATGTCTGGAAAAGTGGGCTATAGAGAAGAAAAGCGTATGCCAAATAAAACAGGAGTATTCCTTTTGTTGCAA